CGGGGGAGGAGGGAAAAGGGGAGGGGAGGCGCCTCTGGTACCCTTCTCCCCGCCCCAGGTGAGGACCGAGGGCCTGCCCTGCTGGCTGGGACCCCAGGACGGCCCCTCCTCAGCCCTGGCCAGGAAGGTCTGCAGGGGCACCGGGCCCTGTGTGGTGTGTTGGGATGACAGGGTGGTGAGCGGGTCTATCTGTGTGATCCGGCAGATGTAGCCTGCTCGTGTGTGTGTTGTGTGGGTGTGTGAATTCGGTCTGTGTGTTCTCTACACCTTGGTTGGAACCCTCATGTCCTGCAGTCAGGTGAGGGTCTGGCACCTTGGCTTGGGTCAGGACCCAATAATGTGTGTGTGCATGTGAGTGCTGCTTGTGGTGGGTGGGTCTCTCCCCGTGGAGTCTGGGGGTGTGGGTGTCAGCTGCAGAAGGGGGAGGGGTGGAGAGATAGGTACTGTGGTCAGGTGAAGGTCTGGCATGTCTCTGGGCTTCAGTGAGTGTGTAACGTGTTTGTGCATGTGTGTGTCCTGTGGTGGATGGCGGATGGGTCTGCGGTGTGTGTGTGTGTGTGTGTGTGTGTGTGTGTGTGTGTGTGTGTGTGTCTGTCTGTGTGTACCATGCTGTGGTTGTGAGGTGTGTGCTCTGGGCACAGGCGAGGGTCTGGTGTTTTCTGGATGACCGGTGGTGTGGCCCTCTGTGGTGGGTGGGTCTATGACAACGAAGTGTTGGAGGTGTGAATGCATCCGTCTGACCGGCCTGTGGGTCAGGTGATGGTGTGCACCTGTGGTGGGTGCGGGGCTGGGCAGGTGGGCTTCCTGCCTGGGCTGGGGCGGGCCTCTTCTCTTGGGCCTCTGGGGGCCTGGTGGGGCTGGGCTAGGAGAGGTGGCCCCTTACCCCACTTCCTTCCCCACTTCCTCCCCACCGTCTTCTCTCTCCATGGACACTTGAGGGTGAGAGGCCCAGGCTGGCAGCCCTGCCAGGGAGGGTGTGCCAAGTCCTCTGGACCGGGGATCGGCCCCCACTGCCCAGCAGCTGTGTCCCACCCCCTCCCTCAGCACAGATGGGGAGTGGAGGGCGGCCCTCCATCTGCTCCCCACCCCAAGACTCGCACCTCCCCCGTTCCCAGGCGCTTCTCCCTCACTCACTTGAAAGCCTTTCCTGCGTCTCCTGCCATCCCTAGTAGACCAGGCGACCAGAGGGAGACCCAGGGCGACAGTCACAATATTTATTTCCACGGCCAGACCCTGTGCTAAGATCTTCACATATATGATCTCGAATCCTCACAACAACCCAGTTTACAGAGGAGGAAACTGAGTCCAGAGAGGATGAGGGACCTGCCCAAGTCATATAGTAAGTGGCGGAGCCAGCACCGGATCCTGGGCAGTTGGACCTTAAAGCCTATGCTGTCCACCCCTCACACCCCTGCCATCCTGGCCGCCTAGGCCATCAGGACCGGGAGTCCAGGCCCAGAGATGGCAGGGATATGGCCAGGTCCACACAGCAAATCAGGGCAGAGCCAGGACCAGAACTCAATTTCTCTATAGCCAGTATGGAAGGTCCTTCCCTCTCCTGGCAGAGGTGGGTCTGTGGTGTCCTGGGGGCTGAGAGCTCGCAGGACACAGTGGAGGACAGACTCGGGGCAGAGAGAGGCCTGGGTGGGAACCCTGCAGTGCCCCTGTGAGTTGGCTAGAAATGTGAGGCCTGGAGCAAGCTGCTGGTCCCTCCGAGCCTCGGTTTCCTCCTCTGTAAAGTGGGCTGAGGTGGCACCGCCTTGACCAGGCCTAAGCGGAGCAGCGGACGTGACTGCCAACTGGCCCTGACCCGCATCCCCTCTCTCTGCCCATCCGCAGCAGCGGCCCCTGAAACAGTCCCTGGGAAGCTCTCTGTGTCGCGAGTCGCACTGGAAGTGCCTGCTCCTCACGCTGCTCATTCATGCCTGTGGAGCCGTCGTGGCCTGGTGTCGCCTGGCCACGGTACCACGGCTAGTCCTGGGGCCCGAGGCAGCCCTGGCCCGTGGGGCGGGGGGCCCACCGCCCACCTACCCGGCCAGCCCCTGCTCCGATGGCTACTTGTACATCCCGCTGGCCTTCGTCTCCCTCCTCTACCTCCTCTACCTGGCGGAGTGCTGGCACTGTCATGTGCGGTCCTGCCAGGCGCCACGCACCGACGCCAACACCGTGCTGGCCCTGATCCGCCGGCTGCAGCAGGCGCCACCCTGCGTCTGGTGGAAGGCCACCAGCTACCACTACGTGCGTCGCACACGCCAGATCACCCGCTACCGCAACGGGGACGCCTACACCACCACGCAGGTGTATCACGAGAGGGCGGACAGCCGCACGGCCCGGGGCGAGTTTGACTACTCGGCCCACGGGGTCCGCGACGTGTCCAAGGAGCTGGTGGGCCTGGCGGAGCACGCGGCCACGCGCCTGCGGTTCACCAAGTGTTTCAGCTTCGGCAGCGCAGAGGCCGAGGCCTCGTACCTCACCCAGCGGGCCCGCTTCTTCAGCGCCAACGAGGGCCTGGACGACTACCTGGAGGCCCGCGAGGGCATGCACCTGAAGGATGTGGACTTCCGGGAGTCCCTGATGGTCTTCGCTGACCCCCGCAGCCCGCCCTGGTACGCCCGCGCCTGGGTCTTCTGGCTGGTGTCCGCGGCCACGCTGTCGTGGCCACTGCGCGTGGTGGCGGCCTACGGCACAGCCCACGTGCACTACCAGGTGGAGAAGCTCTTCGGGGCCAGCTCGCCCCCGCCCGGGGCCGTGCCCAGCGGGCCCCCGCTG